CGTACGCCTTTTTTGTTATTCAGAACATCGCAGACGGTTTTGTTACTTAGTGAGAGATTACTAAAGACAAAAAAGTAGATACCATCGGACTCTTTGATTCCATCAGCTGGGTAAAATGTGGCATTGCCCGGGGTGATGAAATCACCGCCGATTAAAGAGCCGCATGCAAAAACGACATTTTTCGCCCCCCCCCCCACTAAAACTTATTCAAACTTCGTCTATCAATTACTAATACTGGAGCGCTTCTTTTCCCAAATTTTCAGATCCCCAAACAATTTTGGGGGAGAGGGGCGCTAGGGGGGGTGGATGTCAGAACCTGTGAACCTCAATATCTTTCGAACGAAACAAGATATTGAGGCCCGGGTTGGACGAAAAATCGTCTAAAATTGCATACTTTAAGATTCTAGAGGTCAAAATCCCGATATCACATTTTTAACTTAACTTATGTGCTTTTTTTCAGTTTTTGAGGAAAAACAATTCCTTTTAAACACACTAAACTGAAAAAGCACAATTTTGTATTTGAACCAAAACCAGTTTTTTTTAAATTGTTTGTCTTTTTTCGCATCCAACGAGTGGTCATAAAATCTGGGGAACCGAACGGTTCCGGAGTTATGATCGATTGAAGTTTCCGCTCAACGCGAGCCGACCGATTTTCGCGCGCAAAAAAGTCGGATTTGACTGTTATTAAATCAGATTTGATGTTCAAATTGAGCAAAATGCATTATTAGGGACTCTTGAGGGTCGCTGAGCTCAAAAATTACAGATACTTCCAAAAAATTCACGTTTTTAAAATTACAGCTCCGTATCGCTATTTTAGAGGCCCACTGAGCGCCGACCGGCCGCTCAGTGGTCCTGTACGGAGCTGTAATTTTAAAAACGTGAATTTTTTGGAAGTATCTATAATTTCTGAATTCAGCATTCTTCAAGCTAGAGCTCAGCGACCCTCAAGAGTCCCTAATAATGCATTTTGCTCAATTTGAACATTCAATCTGATTTAATAACAGTCAAATCCGACTTTTTTGCGCGCGAAAATCGGTCGGCGCGCGTTGAGCGGAAACTTCAATCGATCATAACTCCGGAACCGTTCGGTTCCCCAGCTTGAATGACCACTCGTTGGATGCGGAAAAAGACAAACAATTTAAAAAAACTGGTTTTGGTTCAAATACAAAATTGTGCTTTTTCAGTTTTGTGTGTTTAAAAGAAATTGTTTTTCCTCAAAAACTGAAAAAAGCACATAAGTTCAGTCAAAAATGTGATATCGGGATTTTGACTTCTAGAATCTTAAAGTATGCAATTTTAGACGATTTTTCGTCCAAACCGGGCCTCAATATCTTGCTTCGTTCGAATGATATCGAGGTTCACAGGTTTTGACTTCCACCCCCCTAGCGCCCCCCAAAATTGTTTGGGGGTCTGAAAATTTGGGAAAAGAAGCGCTCCAGTATTAGTAACTGATAGACGAAGTTTGAATAAGTTTTAGTGGGGGGGTGGGGGGCGAAAAACGTCGTTTTTGCATACGGTTCTTTACTGCCGTTTCCAAGTGTCTACCTTTAGGGTTCGTGAGTTTAGATCCCCACCTAACAGATTTACAATTCCAGTCACCGCCTATAATAAAGCGGGGACCCATCCCTTCTAGCAATTCGGTATAATGTGCAACGTTGCAACGCTGTCCGGGCGGTGCGTAGATGGCACCAATTTTGAAAGGTGCCAGAGATGACTCAATCTGAATGACTACAGACTGAAATCTCTCTTCTTCTAAAATTTTGATAACGGAGTGTTTTAATGACTCCCTGATTGCTATCGAGGCACCCCCCCCCCCCCCCCCCCCCNCCCCCGCGCATTGTTAGACGGGTGTCTTGCATTATAAAAACGATATCCCTTCACATAACCCCTTGATTCTCTGGTAAAGTGGGTCTCAGAAAAAAGGGCAACGTCCGTTATTAATTGGGCCATGGTTTCACTAAATGCGAGTAATTTAGCCGGGGTTAGACCGTTGGCGTTCTATGCAACAAAATTTAAAATATTTTCTCTAGAATTAGAGTGATTCAAGCTCGAAAGGAAGTAGAGCCGATAACACGGCCATGTAAAGCTTTCTCGTATTTTTCTTGGCGTTTACTCATTTCTTCGAGCTGTTTTCTAAGAGAATCAATTGTGAGTAATAGTTGACTTATCAATTCCGTTTGCTGGTTATCACCGGATGACGAGGGGCTCGTTGCTTCTGCATATGTGACATTCGGTTTGATTTTATTATGATTAGATAATTTGGAATTTTTATTATTTTGAGTATTTACGTTTTTCTGATTAGATTTTTAAGGAAGGGCAGGGAAATTTCCCCTAATACTGGATTTTTGTAGATTTTTACCTTTAAGAGCTTTGAGCCTATCTTTTTGCATCTCTTTGGCAAAGGGGCAGCCTCGATAGCTAGCAGGGTGTCCCCATTTTCCACAGTTCACACATCGGGGATTAATTACGCGTTGAGGCCAGGGACAATCAGCCGAAAGATGTTTGCCTGTGCATTTGACGCATCTGGCCTGTTTACCGCAGTAGTTACTTGAATGTCAAACATTTTGGCAACGACGACACTGGATTATCTTCGATGAAGATACTTTTATAGGTTCTACTTTGACAGACATTGAGCAAATGCCCACAATTTTGTAGATTTTTTCCACGTCTTCGGAATGGTCAAAGTCGACCTGATGGACTTGAATTTTAATAAGTTTAGTTTTACTAATATACTCTGTATCTGGAGTAAATAGAGGAACGTATTCATTATCAATAATCTGTTCAGTAACATTAGTATCCATTGCATTTAAATCGTTATTAGGAGGTACTGGTTTGCTGTTTTTTTGATCCGAGTTTCCAGCAACTGGAGCCGAAGATGAGGCATCATCCGCAGGAACATTAGTTTTTTTCGCTTCAAGAGCTTTTTTGATAGCCTTTAGTTCGGCACCCGGTACTGGTACTCGTTTCAAAAGACATACGGCTTTTTTAGCTTTGAAACCCTTCGCCTGTAGATCGGCAAGAATGTCCTGTTCATCTAACGTAGAGTGTAGGCCACGAATAATAACCTTGATGTCCCTAATATTCTTATTACAGCGGTGCCGGACACGGAAGCTGTCAGCAATAGATTTCGGGTGCACTGCAGATTGCGAAACGACGGGTAGCGCGACTGCGGATTGCACAGGAGTTAGGGCGCTCGTATAATGTAAACAAACTTTGGCCGCGGGATTGGAGAATTGAATCTCTAAATTGAATCGGACATCTGAGGAACTAACGAACAGCTTGTGGGCTGTAAAAATTGACGACCTGTAATACAGATGGACAAGATTCTAAAAACTCTCTGACTTTTAAAAAGAGGTGGCGGGGGATTCAAAACAAGTTGATGCTGTACATGCTAAAGTAGGTTTTATATATGAAGCGGAAAATTTATTAAAAATTAGAAATTTAGAAAATATTGACTCATCAAAAACTAATTAGCAATAAATGTATATACATGAATTATGGTTTGTGTTGTGACGTCACCATCAACTGGTACCCTGGATCCTGGATGTGACCTCAAAATGCCATTATCAAGACGTCATCCAAGGATGACTCCATGACGTCATCAACGAGACTCGTTTCCATCGACGTCATCGACAGGTGCCTCCATGACGTCATCAACGGATGAGTCTATGGCGTCCTTGATGGGTGTCCGGATGACGTGATCGGGGGGGGGGGATTGCTGGTAGATATGGAATTGTCATTTTCTCAACTCAGGGGGATTGAAATACAAGAGGAGAAAGGTAAGGCCTTGTCTCCACGGGACGTTTTCATAGGATTTGTCCCAAGTTCGAATCGCAGGAATGAAACTTCTGGGATTTTTCCCAGTTACCGTCTCCACGGGACGGGGCTCATACAGTCCTGCGACTAGTTTGCGCGAGAAGATAAATTAGATAAAGTCGAGTATTTAACCGGGATTCAAATACTAATTGCACTTAATTGACAATTATACACATTATTTTAACGAAACAAACATTAACAATGGAGTAATGAATAAAATATTGCACAATTCGTTTCACTTCTTCCTCTCCTCTCAGTGGGTCCTAGGGGTACAAGTACCATACTTGGTACTGGGAAAAAAAAATTGATTAACTCAATATTTTTCTCAACTTCGTAAGTGGAATTTAACGCTGGGACAAATCTCGTGAAACGGCCCGTGGAGAAAAGGCCTAAAGAAAAAAGTAAAGACATTAGTAAAAACATTTAGAGCGAAAAGAATCACTCTCAAAAATGGGCAACCACTGTTTTACCAGTTATTCCGATTAATCAGTCCACTCCCCCTTCTCTTATATCGACACAATTCCCCTTTACCTGCACTTTTCTGTAATATACCGTTAAAAAAAGGCAGCGTTCGGCCCGCAGTCCGGACAAGAAAACTTCTAAAAGTCAAAGTTCTAAAATGAGCCACACGCTTCATATAGGTATTGTTCATATATTCTCGCGGAGCGCCCTAACTCCTGTGCACTCCGCAGTCGCGCCACCTCCGTCGTTTTGCAATCTGCACCCGAAATCTATTGCTGACAGCTCCCGTGTCCGGCACCGCTTATTACAGTGAGTATAATATTGAATTTTAGCATCAGTTTCTTGAGCTTCCCTAAGGGATTGATTGATTTTAGTGAGTTTCGCAAAATAATTAGTAAAAAGAGCAAAACCATACACTAATTCGGCAAACATTTTGCAAATACAGCAAAAGTTTTAGCACCAACTTTAACATGGCCCAATGTAAATTCGAATAATTCCGACAGAACGGCAATCGCCGTACAGTTACACTCATTTTCAGCCGGGGAACTAAACCCGTGGAATAGAAATGATAACTTCCGGATAGTGAAGCACTTGCACACGTCGTGGATTTGCAACTGAAGTAGGTAGTTGCTTACTTCTTACTTAAAGTTTTGTGGGAAGCAGTATGGCTGGGGTTATGGAGCCCTATAATAAACGTTGATATTTTTATGAATTGTTTCAAGGACGCGGTAAATGACGCTGCTTGGTCTCCCACCCATTCTACGTTTTTGGCTAGCGTAAGCGGAGATTGCATCCATTTATGGGATATTTCTCGCAAGACTGTGACGCCTTTGTCGACATTAAAAGTTTCAACCGGAGGCTTGACATCTATTGTCTTCTCACCATCTGGAAAGGTAAATTTTATTTATGTATCTAGCAGGAAATCCGTGCTGCGCACAGAAAAAAAACATGATCATTATTTATCAGCGGGACGAAGGGATCAGTTCCAAAATCTTGTTTTATGCGTAATTTAATCCATCAAAAATGTGTGTGGGTAATCCTTCAAGAATAAGCGTGTGTCCAATTGTGATTTTGCAGAACTCAGCTGAAAAGTTTGTTTTCTAAGACACCTATGAGTAAAAATGTTTCTAAAGAACCCCGCACCATCCTTATGAGAAATCCCTCCCCCGCTCAAATCTGATGAAACTTTGCTACGTTACTCAGATAGTTATTCTAATCAAAAGCTCTCCGGGCCGAAAGAGATCCCATGTGCAGTTTTCGAGATATTTGCCGTTTTTATGTGCGTGAACGGAGGTCTCGCCGGCCGGACCACTGTGCGGCACTACTCGTACCGTCTCCTTCCAGCCCATTCCGGCACCTCTTCGCTTCTCTGCCATCCATACCCGAGGCTCGAGCTCCGACGCTCACGAGGCTTTGCTCATCGCCACCGGCCCCCCCAAAAAAAGAAAAGTTGCCGCCCCCCCTTTGGGAGGAGCTTGAATGCGTTACTTTTCAGGTGCGCCTCGTATGTATGTGCGTACGTATGCGTATACTAGGGGGCCCTGCCCCCTGACTGCTACGCGACCCAACCCCCGGGAGGGCGCTTCGCGGGCCCTATACGCATATGTATAGGCAAAAATGTTCTTCCATTTTAATACACCATTTTGTGTTGGAGCTGCATCGATTTCAAAATTTTTGACGTAACACTCAAATTTGTAAAGGGAATGATGATGAAGAATAGCTGGATGTACATAATTTCATAGTCCTCTTACTGGAGAAATTTCCATTTATTATGTTATTTTCAAATACTTAATTTTAAAAAAAAAATCGGATTTCGACCGTTAACAGTTAATAATATTTGGTCCGTCCCGACGCGACACAGCGCCTGCCTTCTCACTTTGTATCTGCCGTTTATCTGCTGTAAATATTAATAGAAATTCAGCAATCAAGTAAATTGACCAATGCCACAAATCGAAGCCGGAAGAATGCAGGAAAAATTAAGTTAAACCTTATACCTTACTAGCCGTTCTGGGCGCGCTTCGCGCGCCCGTCACGCCTGG